TTCAATTACGCCACCTGACCTACCCACGACTTACCCAGATACCCAAGACATCGGTAATGGTAGGCTTATTCGGGCGAACCTTGCCACCTAGATAGTCCCAAGCTCTTCTCAAGACACTCGTCAACCGCGAAACTTCCCTCTTTATTCGTTTTTCTTTCTCCTTCCTTCCTTCTCTCTCGCGTCCTTCATTTCCCTCTCCCATCAAATGCAGGGCAAGTGGATCGATAAGAAAATACCTCTGGACCCATGTAGCGAGAAGATGTCCGATTGACAAAAGCCCTGTAACCCCCCCCCCTCCCCCCCCCCCCCTCCCCTTACCCCTAGGCAGACTCGCTCATGAACTGCAAAACCCAATCAGTGAATGAGCAGTTTCTTCAATCCCCACCCATGCCCGTTGTTCACCTTAGGCGACACAAACCACAACAGTTCATTAACGTCATTGACTCACTGCGACTAACCGCCCGCCATTTTACACCCAGAGAACGGGTTCCCAAGCCACCGCCCAGGAACTATTGCCGTCGGCAACGGTTTCTTGGGTGTTCCACGAAATGTAAAATGAGATGAGCGTTCTGGGCATATTTGAATTCCACGCTAGCATAACGAACAAATGCGTTTTTTTGCAAGCGAAGATCGCCTAAACGGGAATTTTTATGAGAAATTTCCATTTGATCTGTGATTTCTGGAAAGTTCCACTTCGTCAGGGAACTTTTTACTCCTTATTTTGGGTTAGGAAAGTTTTAAAGGCGTGTAATGAATAAATCACCCCACAGGAAAGTCCAAGGTTATATTTGGCATGAATTATAGGTGATTCAGTCTTTGAAGGACAAATATTCTCAAAAGGCAGCCGTGGGAATTCAGGTCCGCCCTTTACTGGAGTAGAGCTAATCGGCTATATTTATCCACACATCATTTCCTTTAACCCATATCTGAGCCACGGGAAATACAGCATCAGCTAGGAATCCCGGCTCGCGCCTGATCACAATGGAGCGAACTGGCTCGTTTACCCATGTGTAGCCAAGGAAAACCTAAAGTCCGCCTGTTCGGCAGTTGCAGCCTGGTCCCACAGTAAACCATTTGAGGGCTTCCCGAGCGCTCTGGTACTGCGCTTATCCACCCATGAGATTTCCCTGAATTCCCTGAATCAGGCAAATTGTAAATCATAGATCCTTGGTCGGCACACGTGTTACCGTCTACGTGAATACTTGTTCTGTGACTGTCTCACTAGCGATGATCATTCTCATCGTAAATCATAAATCACATCATCACAACAGGTTTTCGCAGTATTCCCATTGTGGAGGTGTAACAATCGATAAATTCCAATCAATAAGCATTTCAGGAAATCGGTGCTATCCAAGCGCTGAAGGAGGTCGCATCGTCACCTGATGAAGTTGCCGCCAAATTCGCCTCCGAGGCGTTGACCGTTATAGGTGAAGAGGTACGTTTCCTACAGGTCTCAACGTACAGTATGCGAAATCAATATATCGATCGATTTCAGGTACCGTATAAACTTGCACAACAAGTCCCCAATTGGACGGTCAAAGATGTTCAATACTGGGTGAAAAAGGTGAGCAAATATTAAAAAATTGAAGAAATGGAGGTTTGAATTGTCGGAAGATTGAGCTAGTTTTTCAAAGGTGTGTTTGTTTGCTCTCAGTCGGCTTGTAACTGGCGCTGCAAACCTGCAAAGCTGGGTGGTCCTGACACGGCAATTGTTGAGTCACCGTAGTTTACTTGATGACTCGCCTGCACGCTTGCACTAAGGGTGAACTACGCGAATACCCCGACAACACAAAAAGACCATCAAAAGACCAAACATCCAGTACCAGAGTGGGCGACTGAGGTCAGGACGAACTGACGATGATGGGGTCGAATCAGGTTCCTACACACCAAGCATCGCCTAAATTTTTTGCCGAATTTCCCTTATTTAGACGAACCTGATTTCACGGGGTTGTGTTTACGGATTCACCCAGACAGTGCTGTCGGGTAAACATCTAAAGAAAGTTCCACAGCATTTCAAAAATTATGCTATAAACATGGGGAGTCGGCAGGGTGCCAACGATCTTCAATGGATGATCATTTGGCCTTCTATATAGCCCGAAACGGCCATTCTACGCGGAGTTCACAAGATCAAAGAAGAAAGGTGGAAGAGATGAAAGAATAGCTGCGCTACTACCGCAGAGAATCGCTGGAACCGCTGGAAGCAGGGCAGGTCGCAATCTGGGGATTCCCAGAGGGGGAAGGGGCGTATTTGGGCATTGGAGGGACTCGTGCTGCCTTTGAAGCAAAGTTTTTCTGTTGTTGATCTTTCTAGGTTTTTTCCCGTTTCAAATGTGCTATATATCCCTCTCGATGGCAGGTTTCTGAGCTGGGAGAATCCAGGAGCGTTCTACGTAGGATGGGAGCTGGGGAAGGGGCTCGCACCAGAAGAGGAACCTGGAAGAACAGGGAGTTTTCGGAAGGGGATTCTGAAATGTCGTGGAACGCTAGGGGAACCCTTGAACGTTCTGCGTATAATATGAGGGGGTTATAGCAGGGGCGGACCTCCGAGAGGGTTCGTTTTTTCGCACAATTCCTTTCCCATGACAGGGCGTGCCCTGGCTGGGGATATGCTAGAACTTTGGTCAGTGGGTTTCATAGTAGAAGTTGATTGATGACCCATGCCAAGAAGTTTTCTCCAGCAACCCTGGCCCAGTTTCAGAATCATCACGACCAGTTTGTTGGAACAGAGTTCTCCCGACGTGAAATTCCTCAGAGACCACGCAATACATCAGTGGACGCCACATTTGGCAGTGACATTGTTATTGATTGTCCTGTCAGTTTATCAGTGATTGCAACAGTCTGGGTAGTAGTACTACTGGACTATGACAACAAACCCGTGGGCAGAGTTGTGACTGGTTTCCAGTTTCCGGTTGATCTCGATCTTCATCTTTGGAACTGAAGTGACAAGCGAGACAGAAATAGCCCCTACTGCCACATTTAACCGCCTCTGTGCAAAGTTTGTCTTCCACATTCTAGGCATTGTTCATCTGGGGGTTTTGGCGGTTGCCAGTTCCCGACTTGTAGAGATTTCCGATTTCCGACTTCCTAGCGCTTTGCTCACGCTAGCTTCATCCCTAAAAATATTGAAAAACTGGGAGTTTTCGCTCTCAAACTTTATGAAAATGATTTCAGATTGGCTTCGAAGACTATGTAGATCGCTTCGCAAAGCAAATGGTCGATGGAGATATTTTACTACATTTGAATGAAAAAGAACTCGAAAGAGACATCGGCATGTCTTCAGGACTCCATCGGAAGCGATTCATTAGGGAACTTGAAAGCCTCAAGGTGAGCTCTTGGGAAGATCCAGCACTAAAGACATGCTCCCTGATAGTACCCGGGCAATTTTGTTTGGGGATAAGAAGTGGGTCCTGTGAGGATTGAGAAACAAATGTCCCTCCCAGGAGCGGTGATGGCCAAACCGTCGTCTTTTCTGTTCCAGGGTTTCTCTTGATCTTTTCTCAATCCATCAGATCTGTGATCAGGGTCTTTATAATGATCCTTGTCCCATGTCGGGTTGGACTAGCACTGGCTTAAAAGGTAGTATCTACCGATTGCACCTCCGAGACCAACCCTTCTAGTCAACAAGCCACCAATAAATCAAAGGGTGGTGGTTAGTCGTAGAAAAACTAGAGAGAAGGCAAGGTTCGGGGGTACACTCTGTGGGCCTGGGGTCCCGAAATGAACCCCACCGACCGTATAGATCACAATACCGTGCCACAATAAAGTCGTCTATTTCGTGCTATTTCAGATCGCTGCTGACTATTCAGCCGTGGACGAGAGCAACCTAGACCAATTGTTGATGTCATTGAGTCCAGAATTGTCCGTCTATACCTACAAGGTAAGGTGTTTCTGAAATGCTACTCTGAGCTCATACCTACCCCCCTCCTTTTTCTTGGCAGTTTTCCAAAAGATCGCCCTTTCAGATGCTGTCATGTGGTATTAATCGGTCATTGTTGGGCTCGTTAACTGACGAACTAATGCAGACCGCATGTGGAATCACGAATCCGATCCATCGGCTAAAGATGACTCAAGCATTCCAAAGTCAGTAACGCATCCTTTCAGAAACCTACTCCAAAAATTAGCGTCAAATTAATAAAAGGAAGCAAAATGTAACGGGGAAGTATCCCTTGCGCTCTGGGACCTTCGTAGGAATATTGTTGATGAAACAGTAGCTTATTTGGGGAATTCTTGCAGGCTTAGAACCAGTCGATCTTTGAGGCTTCCTGAGAGAGTCAGAGGAATGAGAGATCGCTTTCATATCGAGGATTCGCCAATTTTTCGTCATCTTTCTGCTGCTGTTTTCTTCTAACCGGATGTCTACTACCTGGGAGGATAGATTTCGTAGATGTGGAGACATCCAGCCACCTCGTCACTAATGGAGATCGACTAACTTAAAGACACATTACGTAGCAGCAAAGTGGGCGGGGAAATGGGCGGAGACTTGCAGCCATTGTGCTTTCTTCATCAGTGCGCCGTTCCTTCTAACGGACTACAATGTACCGTGAAGGGGAGGGGTTGCGTCATTGATGAAGGTGCAATAGTTACCAGTGCCCGCCCATTTGTCCACCCACCTGGAATGTGCCTTCAAGCGGAATACGAACATAACTGAAGTTAGGATCATTGCGCTTTGTTCAAGAGCAGTAGACGCGTTGTAGCCTTTAGATTAGAGCGCTTAGATAGACCAGGGGCCAGAAGGAAGGGCGAACACGCCATGTCAAAATTAAGCTACCTCCTCCTGAAGTGCTCTCTTTTTAAAGGGACAAAGCGGTTACTGTAGACTTACTACTGCTGTTTTTTATGGAGCATTTTCAACTGATTTAGTTCTGTTTTCAGATGCCAAACATCCAGATGAAGTCGAAGTGGCTGTACTAAGCAAACAAATAGACGTCTTTATCAGTTACCGAAGAAGTACCGGAAATCAGCTGGCCAGTCTTATCAAAGTATTACTGCAATTGAAAGGCTACAAAGTGAGTAGTGATCATTTTTTCGGGAATATTCTCGAATGTTCTGGAACGTTCTATCCTAAACCCTGTACTTCTAGGTGTTCATCGACGTGGACAAGTTGTACGCCGGAAAATTCGACTCCTCATTATTGAAAAACATCCAAGCCGCCAAGCACTTCATTCTCGTCCTTACCCCTAACTCCTTAGATCGATTGCTCAACGATCACAACGGTGACGACTGGATTCACAAAGAGGTATGTAGCTCAGCATGTGCTTTTCGATTTGGGACAGGCTACCTCCGCAATTCCGATTTCCGACTTCCGTCCCCCCTTTCCCCACTTACTCGCACAGGCCTAAACTTATGCAGCTCTGATCTTCCTTTTTCTTTTGACAAGATCGGGTCTTCTTGGAGCTTCCTCTTCGGCTTTCAAAAGTGTCCGGTACCCATTCCATTAAAGGCACAGTTCGCGATGATCATGTAGGTGGAGACATAGGCGAAGGCTTCACTGCCACGCTCCTTCAATTTTACCACTGCCTCGCTCCTTTTAATTGTTAAAGAAACTTGAAATGTAGAAGATGTAATTGTTGTGGAAACAATTGACAAAGGTATAATGGTTGGCCGAACTCCGCCCACACGATCAGTGTGTATTGTGCCTTTAGATTCCCTCTTTTATGGTCCATAAGCAACAGCAATTGCAAAGAAAGTACCAAATTGTAGTATCCCAATGCTTCTGAGAATTTTCTGCTCTACCTCCAAATTGCCTTCGATTTCCAACGACCCGAACGAGTAACCCCAGCTTTCATACTGTTCTCTGATAAAAACTTAAGAGTCCTCATCTCTCAAAATTGGCCTAGAAAAATGAAAAATAGAGCATTTGAAAAATCATAAATCACCATCATTTTTTCAGCTGAAATGCGCCTTTGAATATCAGAAAAACATCATTCCGATTTTCGATCAAGCCTTTGAATTCCCTCAAAACGAAGAGCAAATCCCTCAAGATATTCGGATGATCACCAAATACAACGGTGTCAAGTAAGTACTACTACTCGATTACTTCTGTAAATTGTCTTCCACGTTTCTCAGCCAATATCATTTCAGATGGGTCCATGATTATCAAGACGCTTGCATGGGCAAAGTAGTCCGATTTATCGAGGGAGAACTCAATCGAACGCCCAGCCTTCCAGCTCCGGTAATTTTTTTTGCTTTTTTTTCTGGAAATGGCTATAGTATTCATGCGGAGTACTTCACTTGTAGGGGGGATAATAACACATGTGTCAATGAAATATGTGATTTTGTGAAACTTTCTGCACCCGACTCCGCCCCCTTATTCATCGTAATTTAAGGCCCACAACGCGCCACATCCGCGGCGAGCGACCAGTGGCCGATTCCCGACTTCACAGTCAAGTATACGACAGGCTTCCACAACGAGTCATCGAACTGGTGGACGAGCCGGAGAACATCCGCCGTCAACGCCTACATGTAAGTTTCTTCTTTGGCCAGTAGACCGATGCTCTCAAGTATATGCTTTGACCATATCGATTAGTCGCTAGAGGAAAGGCGTAAAATCAATATCTTTGGCACAGTTCTGGGGAAAATGTGAGATGAAATAATCAGAGATTACGCTGCTGGTTTCCTCTGAGTCACCTTCTCAAGTATGTGTGGAATCAATGGCATCCTTCATTGTGCCATCTCAAGGAGAGGTTTAGCAATACCAAGGCGCACTTGTCTAGTTGGCCCTGCCCACTCAATCAGCGCGGAATTTACCTTCAAGCCCTGTCCTTCTTCCCCTTGGTTTCTAGTTTGGAGGCATCCAAATCAGATATCTGGCCTAATTTGTCACCTTGGATATACCGAGGATTAATTGACCCAATTTCAGTTACACCAGCATCGTCGACGGACAAAAATCGAAGGAAACATCACACTTCCGTTACAACAGTGTACGATCGTAGCTAATGAAGTTGAAGTCGCCTTCACATTGGCGCCTTTGCCTAGATGGAGAGAATCTCAACTCTCATGTAATTACTTCCTAGATACGGGTATTGTTATTAGTTCTGTCGTTGTGATTTTTTATTTCCTTAATTTGCATTTGTCACGGGACCTTTCTTTTCATGTTTGTACGAGAACACCTCATTTTTTTAACGTTTGTTGTTTCTCTTCCCTCACGTGTCCAGTTAGCGTTGTACAGTTCTGATTCCCCTATGTATGTACAGAAACGAGTGTAAAACATTTCTAGAAGTCCCAACTGTGAGCTGGACCACATTGGCTAGTTTGTACATCATGAGATCTTCGACATCGTCCAGCTCACATGTTGGGACCGTTCTAGAAATGTTTTACACTCGTTTCTGTACATATATAGGGGAACAGAACTGTACAACGCTAACTGGACACGTGAGGGAA